AAGTATATATATTCTTGATCAGCGTAAAATTCTAAGACGTCCGTCCGTCCGTCCTTCTGTCCGTCTGTTGTAATCACGCTACAGTCTAAACGAATTAAGATAGGAAGCTAAAATTTTGCACAGATCTCTCTTTTGTCAGCAGGCAGGTCAAGTTCGTATAGCCCCCATATAACGGTACCCCCGTTATTCGGCATTTTGATGATTTTACCCACATTTTCCAATCGTATTGTCTGAAAATCCACACACGGAGTTCTTTGTGAGCACTTTACCCCTGAAACGGAATTGTCTATATAGGTCCACAATATCCCCCATATAACGGTACTCCCCTATATTCGGTATTTTGATGATTTTACCCACATTTTTCAACGGAATTGTCTGATAATCCACACAAGGAGTTCTTTGTGAGTACTTTACTCCCTGAAAGAGAGTTGTCTGTATAGATCCACGATATCGTATATCCCCCATATAACGGTACCCTCTGATATTCGGTATTTAATGATTTCAGCCACATTTTTCAACGGAATTGTCTGAAATTCCACACAAGGGGTTCTTTGTGAGCACTTTACCCCTGACATAAAGTTCTCTATATAGGTTAACGATATCGTATAGCCCCCATATAACGGTACCCCCGTTATTCGGTATTTTGATGATTTTAGCCCCCATATAACGGTACCCCCGATATTCGGGATTTTTATGATTTTAGCCACATTTCCCAATGGAATTATCTGAAAATCCACACAAGGAGTTCCTTGTTTTGACATTTTTTTATTTTATTTTTTGAATATTTTCTAATTCGTTCCAAATGGTGGAGGGTATTCAAAGTTCGGCCCGGCCGAACTTACTGCTTTTCTACCTGTTTTTTTTGGAAATTGCCAAATTTGTACCAAATGGTGGAGGGTATTAAAAGTTCGGCCCGGCCTAACTTACAGCTTTTTTACTTGTTTCGATATCGTAAAGGGAAAATCTTCCTTTTATAATTTGACATTAATATGCCTAGACATGATGTCAAGCTGCTTGTGTACCGTCAACTTAAGTTTACATTTACATATAAATGGGTTAACCCACTGGATTTTGATTAAAATTGTCATATCCGTCCTTAAATAGGTCATGCTACTAAAGTTCTTGGCCATGCATGTTGAAAACATGTTAATATTTGATTTTTTTTTGTCGAACCAATTGAATATTTTACAAAAGTTTTCGAACTTTGGTTCATTTGAAGGCGATTATGAGTATTTGGGTATATTTGTGCGCAACGCAAATTTTTTGATAAAACTCAAAGGGAGAGAATTGAAAGAGAAATTTGATTTTTATTTATATTTTAGTACATTCTTGTCGGCTAATGTTATGTCTGCAATCTCATACGTTTCTGGCGTGTTTTGATTCATTTTCAGCAGCTGATTGCATGCAGGTTATGAAAAATTACCCAAAACCGTATTTGTCTGATTGTAAACAACCAAAAGAATGTGGCCCCTAATATTGCGGTATTGATCAATACACCGTATTTTGGAGGCTCAAACCTAATTTAATTCATTATTATTTTACTTAAATGTCAAATTTCTTTACTGTTATTTGTTTTCAAATCTTTTCCTTTTCTCTTTGCAATGATAAAAAATAGTATGACTTAAGTTTTTACTTTTGCTTTCCATATTACGGAATAGTACCACTGTTTCCATTTGAGTGCGAGTCTTAGCCTTCAGTTGGTTTAGCTCGTAGTTGGTCGGCTATATGTACCTTATCATTATACCTATGTAGGTATTTTGGCAATTCTCAACGAAAAAGACGGGTATAGAAAGAGCGACAATGAATGCCGTACGCCCAACTACCAATGTGGAACTCATTCGAGAGTGAGCTCAGTGCAGGAAAATGGGCGAACCTGGCCAACGTATCATTCCTGCATACCTTGACATTGGTTTGCTGCAAGGCCTTACCTAATGGGTTCTGACCTAAAAGAGAGTGCTTCTCTCAATTGAAGATCTATACATTGTCGACGGCAGTCTCTTGTTGTGTCATTTGTTTTTCTACAAATGCCGTTACAATTTTAAGTGTTTTTGTCTTGTATTTGTAAACAAATTGTCACCATCGTGATGCGCTGTACTGATTATGCTGTGTCGTTTTACCTTGACTTTCGCCGCCAACAAGAACAGAGGCCAGCAAAATTTCAGGAAGAATATTTTGCATTTTCATCCCCCCAACCTGCAATAGCTCAGCACTGGCAAGAACCCGCTGCTGCTGATTACGTTCGCACACAATATACCCGAACCCCACCAAGAGCTTCAATTTTCTTTTCTTCACATTTTGTATCTCTACATAAAATATTCGTTCTTGATAAATGTCAAATAAAGGTCAACGATATTTCACAGATGGTGGTGGCGCCTTAACGCTCATCAGCGAGATATGTTCGTATATAAATAATTTGAATAGAGGAATAATTCTAGAATTGTTGAGGTCTTTTTATCCATTGCGTGTTTTCATTGAAATTATAATTCTTTTTTATTCTCACATTGCACTAACAACAAATGTCAATGCGGAAATCTCTGCACATTTTTTGATCTTTTATGCGGTTTTTTGCTTTGCATTTTTCACTTTGAACTTCAATTCGTTATGCTATTGAAATACGTATCACTCTACAGATCATTACTTTTTTTAAAACAATTATTCATTTAAAATTTTTATCACCTTTTAAAATATCAACTGCCACCAACAACACAAATTTTCGATTCCGTTCCTTCCTCTTTTTTTCAAACAATTGACGTCGGCGTTCGCCTCTCAATTGACAAAAAGAAAGATGTGCCGTAAAAGTTAGTTCTTTCATTTCTGTTGTCGGCCGCTGCTGCTTGTAGCCGCAAAGTTTGTACGCTCGTCAGCATGACCAGAAGCAGCGCAGCAACACCGAATACATAAAGTTCTCTCCGTCTCTTTGAAATAGGGATCTATAAATTGTTTTACGACCTTAAAGCCTAAAGCCGACCCAATCAAGGTATATTGAATAGGTAGTGAAACTAAACTCGAAAAAAGGTAAACTAGAATCAACAGAACATTCTAACACTATTAAAAGTGGGCACGTAAAATTAAAAAAATTAAAACATTGAAAAAAAAAAAAAATACATAAAATATAAAAAAATTACATATTTTTGAGAACATCTCATTGGCAACATTTTTATTTATAAATTTATTGTAGGTATTTACACCAATCAGATATGCGAACCTGTTTTAAAGTTAAATTTGACAGAAAAATGCAGAGTAGGATATTTTCACTGGACATGAGTTAAATTTGATTCTACCCATGGTAGAAGAATATAGGTAGACGTATTGACACAATGGCTTAAGTCATCGGCTGGTTTATTCATATTATATCAGAGGATTCAGGCAGGAAGCGGAATGCATCTGTTTTGCCTCCAATGTTCATTTCTAGCATTTCCTTCAAGTCTTCCAATATTTATGTCTACAGGTGAGGAGAGGAATGCATGAAAGTATCAAGGTCAAAGCAGAGTGAACGCGTTCTCAAAGTTCTCAAAACCGGGTTGCTGTTGCACACACAAATCACCAAACAAAAAACGTTATACTCATGTTTACACTTAGAGTAAACACTCCATCTGTTTTGAATGATGATTCAACTCGAGTGGCTCAGGAGTGCTCCCACACAAAACGAAAGAGTGGAAAATAGACCCCGTAAAAAACTCCCACACTTTGAGTAATCCAGCTCACGAGGAAATTTCGCTCCCGATTGAATATGAGCAAATCTGAGCTCTGGTTTTTTTTAGAATGAAGTTGTTGAAATACAACGTTTTCTAATATTATCATAAAATGTAAATAAAACATAGTCATGCTATCATAATGTGGGGTAATAATTTTTCCATACTACCAGCGCCATCTACCGACATAAGGTAACAACTATCTTTTTATATTTGCGCCTTCGATTCGTTATTATATTTATATGATGGTATCGGTGCTATGTTCTGCTAGATGGCGCTGAAAGTTAAACGTAATTCAAAGACACAAATTCTAATACGATAGGACATTTCCTAGTCGTGCTGTTTCGGTAGATGGCAATAGTTATTATACCATCAGCCATATGGCTAAAGAGGGTATAATCACTTGATATGACCAAAGCATGTCTCATCGAAATAATGGCTTTAGACCCTAGGTCTCTTGGGACCAAATCCGTTTCAGGACATTTCAAGTCAGTCTGCCTGGCTGGCTGGCTGGTGCGCACGATAACTCTCGATGGGAGTCAACATTTTCAAAGAAAATAATTTTCTTACACAGAAAGAGAAAGGATAATCCGATTTTGTTCCACCTGCAAATCATAATATTAACATCTGTGTTTGCCCAGGTATGAAAACGGACAATACCGGTCCACCATATCAAGTACCTTTCCCACAAAGGGTCAAAATTTGGAATAGTTTTAACTCTTATAAAATGTGGTGTAAGAATCCGACTGTCTTGAAATTACATACATCACAATATTTTTATTAATCCAAGGTCTGGTGTGATGATGGTCAAAGTTTTGAACATCCATGAAGCTCATAAAACACTAAATTAACATCCGATTCGAGTCAGATTTAGCACATCAAGATCAGTTATAAAGATGGTAGAGATCGGACCATTGGAGCTATTTTGTTGTTGCAATCTGAATCATCGAAACCCTAGTCAAATGCTTGATATCGCTAAATATTGTATGGACTATTCCCAAACTTGGTCCCGTTTCCCATAATAACACCCGTCCTACCTTTAGTCATATCCCTACCCTGATCAAAAATAAGTTTGTGGTATGGCGTCGCAAATAATAACAACAACAATGTCTTACATTTGAAAGGAATGCTGAGGAATGGGGACCACTTCTGCTTACCAAACACTTTTACCCAGATATTAAAATTGAATATAGAAACATTAACCTTGAGCGGATCAGTGAAGCCCTTCGTTTTTGGCCAGAGACTAATAAATAAACACATACGTATATTGTTTCAATTAATATTTTGATTATTTCATTCATTAGCGTGTCGAAAATGTACATTTGGTTAGGTCTATGTTATAAAAGAGAGTTCGGTATTTAGAAACGACGTCTGTAAACAACGCGTTTAGCAGTCTTGTAGCGGTAGCCATCATTGGCTAATATGGAGGAGTTTTCGAGAGGAGCGACTTCCTCAGCCAACTGATTTTCCTGGACAGGCGGCAAGTATTCGTTGGAGGGCAATTCGTTGACATCACGTCGCTGACGATAACGAATACGCTTCACAGTCTTGTAACGGTAACCGTCGTCGGCTAATACGGCAGTGTCTTGGGTCTTTTCGCTCTCGAAATCGGCAGTTGAAGCCACTGGGATATCGGCTACAAATGGGGCTGGTTGTTGAGGTGGTAAGTATTCGTTGGCGGGCAATTCGTTTACATCACGACGATGACGATAACGGATACGCTTCACAGTTTTGTAACGATAACCATCATCGGCTAGCACGGCCGATTCTTCGGCTGGGGCAGGAACTTCTTCGACGACTTGAGTTTCTTGTGCAGGGGGCAAGTATTCGTTGGCGGGCAATTCGTTTACATCACGACGATGACGATAACGGATACGCTTCACAGTCTTGTAACGATAGCCATCATCGGCTAATACGGCCGATTCTTCGGCTGGGGCAGGAACTTCTTCGACGACTTGAGCTTCTTGTGCAGGGGGCAAGTATTCGTTGGCGGGCAATTCGTTTACATCACGACGATGACGATAACGGATACGCTTCACAGTCTTGTAACGATAGCCATCATCGGCTAATACGGTCGATTCTTCGGCTGGGGCAGGGACTTCTTCGACGACTTGAGTTTCTTGTGCAGGGGGCAAGTATTCGTTGGCTGGCAATTCGCTTACATCACGACGGTGACGATAACGGATACGCTTCACAGTTTTGTAACGGTAACCATCATCGGCTAATACGGCCGATTCTTCGGCTGGGGCAGGAACTTCTTCGACGACTTGAGTTTCCTGTGCAGGGGGCAAGTATTCGTTGGCGGGTAGTTCATTGACATCACGCCTTTGGCGCAACCGCAAACGTTTCACTGTCTTGTAACGATAGCCGTCATCTGCCAAAGGACTTGACTCGCTTATTGATTGCAAATCAACATTGCTAGTAGGTGACGAATCCTCCAGAGGAGGCAAGTATTCATTGGTCGAGACCAAAGCGGCACAAGCCGTCCCCAAAATAACAGCTAGGAAAACGAAAGTCAGCTTCTGTAATTGTCAAAACAAAATAGTTTAGTCCAAAATTTTCAAGCACGTTTTGATTGTTGTAGCTACCATTTCGCTTTTGAAATGCCACCTTCAAATGCTAAAAGACGATTGATAATGAAATCTATTCGCAAAGATCTTTATATAGAAACACACTATCCCCTCCAGATGACCTGTCCTCTTGCCAAATAAGAGCTAAAGACAAACATGAGAGCAAAGAATAAAAAAAACAACAACAGCAACAACAAAACAATGGCACTGTTTATGAACGAGCCAACGTTATACGCATTAGCATTTCCAAACAATGCGAGCGGACCATCGTACGCTGGCTGGTTGGTGCTACACATTCACCTCTTCTTTCTTGACTTATTTCTCGTTCGATTCATTCAGAGGTTTGAGCGATTTGATAGAACAACATCTTCAGAAGACGACATTTTTAAAGTGGTTTCTGCCGGCACATAGAAATGGCCATCTGCCATTCCAATTGAAACAAGAACACTTGAAGCCGAGTTTGGATGGGCTGAGGTGATTTGAGCGATTGGTTCGGCTTGTTACAAAATAAGGAAATGATTAAATTGTTCTATGCGCAACTCCAAACATTGCGTCAGTATAGAATGTTTGATTGAAGTTCGTTTTTAAGTTCCATAAACATTCATACACACACATATCCGTCTGTTGTTGTTTAATAAGCAGATCACACGTGCGTGGCACATAAGTATGTATGTATGTATGGGTAAGTATTCCAATTTCTCAATTTGTAGTAGAATATGATTCTACTCGTTGGATTTCATTATTATCTGACGCCACAGAAAGACTTGACGGAGGCAATTGGAATGAGGACACATGCATAAATGCTGTGTTCCAGAACCACCGGGGTACATCGGCTATCGAATTAGAATTGTTAAATTCTTGCAACAGAAACTTTCAAAAAATTGATTTTTCGTATCACAATTTTTGTCCGCCGTACCCACTTACAAACTAACGTACTTAACGTACATTGTCGGTCCCAGAATATGTTTGACGACTAAAAGTCCACGTGGAAGTGGAAAAAACATTTGATTTATTTTATGTTTCCTTCTTCCATAGTCTGCACTCTGCATACCGCACACTGAGGTCAGGGTATTATGTCTTTGTGCATTGGTTTGTAACATGGCGAGGGTCTGCATAGATATGATATATATATATATATATATATATATATATATATATATATATATATATATATATATATATATATATACGATACAGCCTTCATTATTTGACGTAGAGCTTCAAGAAATTGTACAACAATTTGTATTGCTTTTAGGATACTTGGTATAGAAAATGAAATATCGGCCCAGGTTTTCGTATAGCTTCCACATAACGTATGTCTTTGTGCATTGGTTTGTAACATGGAGAGGGTCTGCATAGATATGATATATGATATATATAATATATATATGTATATATATATATATATATATATATATATATATATATATATATATATATATATATATATATATATATATATATATATATATATATATATATATATATATATATATACATATATACTACACATACATATATACTTCCCTCACTTTATAATTTTTTTTTTCAAAACTTTTACTGCACTATCCAAAAGGTCTTACTGGTGTTTGTAGTTCAAAGTGGGACAATTTGAATTCAGATACTTTTATTTAAAAATGTTTTCTATACCCAATGGGTGGAGGGTATTAAAAGTTCGGCCTGGCCAAACTTAATGTTTTTTTTTTACTTGTTCGTGATTTTCCTTGTCAAATTTTACTGCATAGAGAACTGGTTCTCATCTTCTGTAAGTCTTTCGGTACTTTCCGACCAGAATGTGTAAATTTCATACGCAAGAGTATCATATGAAAATTAAAAATAAAACTATTTCCATTGGTAGATCTTATCACTACTTCGTTTTCGGCGATAACTTACCGACGTTTTTGTTTTTTAATTTCTTTAATGATTAGCACTTGAAAAATTGGCGTTATCGATAATTACAGTAGCGCGATGCTCTAACTAGTCAACGACAATAATCGACAGCAGTAATTTTTCAATTGCTTATATTTTCCGTAAATTACAAAAGTTGTCGATAAGTTAGCGACGAAGATAAAAAAAGGTTTCAGAACCTGCAAGAATCTTCCAGTTTCACTACAAATTTTTGCGATATAATAAAGGACAAATCCGTTATCGCAGTATAATTTATTTTATATTCTTGAACTTCTGGAACAGAGCAAATGTAGTCGCTAAGATCTGCGGACAAAACAATTTTCGTAACTTTCAACTTCGCCTTTGAAAGTCCACTATGGATTTATGGACGTACATTTTGCCAATCAGATATTTTATATTTCTGAAAAAATTATAAACATATGATTGCACGAGGTTACGTTCTTAATTCTACCATGTAATCTGGGGCTAGTTTAAAAATTTACACATTCGATTTTATTAAACATTTATTTCCAAAAAATCAGTCGTGAGTAAAGAGCATAAGACACTAACAAAACAGAACGTTCCAACAATAACACTAATGACGACGAACTTTGAGTTTCTTAACGGCCTTGTAGCGATAACCATCATCGGCCAGAACAGTTTGTTCTTCGGCAACAGCGGCAGGAGCTAAATATTCATTCGAAGGAGTAGCAACTTCAATAGTTGCTTCTTGTGCAGGTGGCAAATATTGAGACAACTCGCTAACATCGCGTCTTTGACGGTGACGAAGGCGACGTACGGTCTTGTAGCGATAACCATCATCGGCCAGAACAGTTTGTTCTTCGGTAACAGCGGCAGGAGCTAAATATTCATTCGAAGGAGCAGAAACTTCAATAGTTGCTTCTTGTGCAGGTGGCAAATATTGGGACAACTCGCTAACATCGCGTCTTTGACGGTGACGAAGGCGACGTACGGTCTTGTAGCGGTAACCATCATCGGCCAGAACAGTTTGTTCTTCGGCAACAGCGGCAGGAGCTAAATATTCATTGGAAGGAGTAGAAACTTCAATTGTTGCTTCTTGCGCAGGTGGCAAATATTGGGACAACTCGCTAACATCGCGTCTTTGACGGTGACGAAGGCGACGTACGGTCTTGTAGCGGTAACCATCATCGGCTAGAACAGTTTGTTCTTCGGCAACAGCGGCAGGAGCTAATATTCATTGGAAGGAGCAGCAACTTCAATAGTTGCTTCTTGTGCAGGTGGCAAATATTGGGACAACTCGCTAACATCGCGTCTTTGACGATGACGAAGGCGACGTACGGTCTTGTAGCGATAACCATCATCGGCCAGAACAGTTTGCTCTCCGACAACAGCGGCAGGAGCTAAATATTCACTTGAGGGAGTCTCAATGTCCAATGACTGGCTAGCCTCTGGTAATGCTGGAGGTAAATATTCTGTGCTTGGTGCATATTGGGCAGATGCCAAAGCAGCCAGAGCAAATCCAACCACTAAAAGTTTCTGTAGAAAACAAAAGGCGATGAATAGGTGAAAGGTCGAACATTGCCGTTGCGCTGCTTAATCTTCTTACCATGTTATGCGACTTGAGCACTCGTTATTCGTCGTAGAACTCCAATGGCTGTCTGATGAAATGCTCCATGGCCTGGCGGATTTATACACAAATTCTGCGATTTGTCGAACACCTATTATGCTGGTGTTAAAAATAGTGCCGCAAATGATTGCTTCTTGTTTCGATACCCTTCTTGTGAACACTGCCATTGTTTTGGCCAATGATTTCGGCATTCATCTCCGAGAATGTGTTCGGTTGAATGTTGGCTGGTATCATCGCAACTCCAAGCCAAAGTCGGAAGTAATATCAGAACGCATTAAAATAACGATCCACAGCAAGCAATGGGTCAATAAACTGTTCTATTGTTTTGTTTTGTTGGTTGATTTGTTTTCGTGCTGTTTCGGTGCCTAAAGTGTTGCAGTGACTGTCGGACAGACTGAAGATGGAGCAATTGGTGGAATGAAGACTTTGTTGGGAAGCTTGTTAAGGGTCGTTGTCGTCACTTCGAACAATAATATAATGGGAATATGGGTTACAAGGTGGCCCTAAAATGTAGCAAAGCCGCCACCGATTACGGCAGTGCGAGTCGTGTCGTCTCCTAGATCCAATCTCTAAGCATGTGTCATATTTTTCGATATTCTGATATCAAAAATAAATCTCAAAATGCTTCGTGTTTTAATCAGCTGGCTTTGTATTTAAATTCAATGGTGGGAGGTGCTCTGTTTACTGGAAGAAGATCGCTTGAGTCGTAATCATTTTTAAGCTATCGCGGCTATATCGGTCTGATGATGGATATGAAGATAATCACTACCCACTTTTTTACCACAAAAGAAAAGCAAAGAAGACAACAAAATACCAAATGAAGAGCTATTCATTTCTCGCATGGACAAAGACCGCAAGATGATCATTTAAATTCGAATATTTGGGAAGATAACAAGTTCATTGACTTGTGAACACTGTCGTTGTATCTGATCGACATTTGCTTAATGGCTGGTATTGAAGTACACTGGCCAAATTTATCGTTGTCAATGAAGACGACGATTGGCAATCTCATTGGTCGTCTGTTCATAGGTCGAACATCCCACTCGTCTTCTTTCCAATCATGCCACAGCCAGAAGGGTTAGTTTAAGTCAAAAATGCAACTCTTTACTGAAGTCTTATTGTGTTTTGTTTCCTTTACGAATTTTTCAACAACATCTTTACATTGGAATGGATCGTACAACTATTTAAAAGAATAAATAATTGAATGCAACATTTTTTTTCGTGGTTGAAAATACCGAAGCCACTCAATTCTAAAAGGTTAAAATATGACATGAACTGTCGGATATTTGTCAGTCGAAAATTGTTCCATAATAAAAGATAAGTGATAATTACGTGGTGACATCGACAAATATATAACTTTACAATGCTATTATTTCTTAGATTTAAAGCTAGGCAGTTGGCGTAGTACGATAATACGACAGTAGCAAAGACCTATAGAAGGTCAGCCAATAAGACCTATTTTGACAACAATTTGACAATTTGATACTTATGCATATACCCGTTTTCATCTACCATGACAGTTAACAAAACATAAGTCGTATTAGAAATTTCAATTACAGACCACAACGAGTGGATGCAGAATGTTTAGTTCAAATTAGGGTGCATTAACAAGCTGCTTTAAATCAATGTCGGTCACATGTCATTCTGTCATTTTTTATACCCTCCAACATTTTCGAAATATTTATAATAGACCCTACAAAGTATATTCTGGATCAGCGTAAAATTCTAAGACGATCTAGCGATGCCCGTCTGTCTGTCTGTCTGTTGTAATCACACTATCTTTCGAACGAATTGAGATAAAAAGCTAAAATTGTGCATATATGCATAGTTTACCAGCAGGCAGGTTAGGTTCGTAAATGGGCCATGTCGGCTCATGTTTTCGTATAGCCCCCATATGACGGAACCTCAAAATACTCAGTATTTTTATGATTTGTGCGACATTATTCAATGGAATTGTAACAAATTTCGTATTTAAAGTTCGTAATGGGTACTATAGCCCATGACAAAAAATTTCGTAAGCTGGTCCACGTCTTTGTATAGTCTCCATATAACAGTTGCCATATAAATGGTAGTTTACGGAAGTTTTTTTTTTTTTTTTTGAAAATGATTAAGTTCCTTCCAAATGGTGGAGGGTATTAGCTGCTTAGCGGCTTTTTTACTTTTTATATTTTCGTACGTTTACTTCCCAATTAGCATGCATTTTGACGATTCGGAGGAAGTCGGTTAGTCTAGCCGGGTGACCTAATAGATAGATAATAGGCTCTGGTTTAAACATTGAAGGAAAGATCTGCGAAAAAAGAGATTGGGTTATCAGTACGAATGGCTCCCAAAAAATATTTTATTTAAAGGCTTTTACTCAGACGCTGGAAGTTCTCTCAGTGTAAACAATTCCAAATTGCGAAAGAGGAAGAAGAAGAAAAAACCTTTGTTATTGAATAGTCGGCCGAAAGTCGCGTGGCTCTTAGACGACACACTGTCTCTAATATTTATGCTAATGAATGATTTATTCGAAAAAGAAAGAGAGCCGTGCCGCTAACCTTTTATCGCCCTCATTAGCAACTGATACAAGTTAGAAACTAACATGAGTATGCAAAGTATCTACCACATACTCACCTCTCACCTATCCACCTTTTCTCACCTTTTCTGTAGGGTGATTCTGTAACAAAAATACAAGCTCATAAGAGTTTAATGAATTTCAACAACATTGAATTCTGGATCTGTCGAAAGCTTTCATTGCCCAGTTGGGATGAATGAAATTGCTCCGCTGAGAATGAGATCTCGGCGTACATACATGCATATCTACAGAATTAACTAGGAATGATCCATGGAACTGAAAGTTCCATGAATATTTATACTGACCGGATTTATATAGAAGTGTGGAGTGTGTTGTGGACTTCGTGTGTGCCGATGTGAAAGATAAGCATATGGATTGAGGCATTAGCCAAAACAAAGTAGTTAATGGGCCCTCAGTATCTTGCTTTGTTTCGCTTCTAATGTTTTAAACAATAATGTGTGTTCGATCATTTGTTTCCAATTCTAGTGGAATTCTATGAAAAAAAAAAAACAAAATCTAGCTAAGCATTCTGACGTTCTCCAAGTGGATAATAGCTCTTCATTGAATAATGTCGGAAGTGATTAAAGATTTGTATCACTGGTAGACATGCCATAATTATTGACGGTGTTCATTGGACTAAATTGGCAGAAACGCACACATACGCGCGAACAAACACTAGCGCTTACATCTATGCCAATTCAAAAGATATTAATGGAGGCGTCGAAACACAATAGCTATTCATCAACTATTAAATGAAGAAGACAATTTGACAGATTTGAAGAGCAAAGCCATCCATGGCTAGTTGTCGTTCTCTATCTGGTTTACGAATGTTGTCGTTCATTATCGTTGACGGGCGATCGGAATGATCAGCTCAGAATATTTGATCAATTTTATTGTCGTTACACGTTTGAGTTCAATAAGCCATCAACTAAAGTCTTCCTAGAATTTATGGCCCAATTTATGAGGTTCTACAGTACCTTTACCTATCGATGGGTCAACCCACTGGTTTGTATTAAAATTGTCACATTCATTTCTTCTACTTCAAATAAATCCTCTTAAGGTAGGTTAACCCTACAAATAGTAAACATGGTATTACACCAGATTAACAAAACTTGCTAACGTTTGTTAACTCTTTGTCGATCCTGTGTTCTTCGCTCCAAGTGCAATTAGTATTTGTTTGCGCTGGCATGCTGAAATTAGGTGTGCCTGATTACCTCAGAAATTCGTAACAATTCGTGCAAAAGAGAGCGATTCGAGAGAGAAATTTTGACAGTCCTTTCATTGAGTTCTGTGTGAGCGTAACATTCTAAATCGATCTAGCGATGCACGTCTGCCTGTCTGTTGTAATATTGCATTTTGCCAGTAGGCAGTCTACGTTTTCGTATAGCCCCCATACAATGGTACCTCTCAATATTCGGTTTTTGATGATTTAAGTGACTTTATAGACGGGAATCGTTTAAATATTTCAAGTTCCTTCCAAATGGTGGGTGGTATGAAAAGTTCGGCAAGCCCGGTGCTTTTTTACTTGTCAATTTCACGTGCTTCATTTCTCTTAGTTACGGATAAATTATTTGTTTTGAAAACTCAGCTGGTTGATTGGAAGTTTCTGCAGGGAATCCGTTTGTTTACTTTTCAGAGCTTCCTTACTCTTTCAGAAAGAAACTGCTGGACAATCCCTGCAGGAAAAGTAACCAGACAAATCTATTATTGATCTTGGAATATAGATTGGCAGCCAAGATTGACACTTATAGTGGGTTTACATGCACAATGTTTAGCCAGGTTAACTGTGACAATTAACCAACCAGAATAAATTGAACATTTATTTAGATGTGTATGTAAACCTACTTTTACTTTTAAGAAAACGTCTGATTTCAAAAATTGTCTGAATATTTGAAATTTAGAATAGGCTGGAATACTGTAAAATACGTGGTCTCGACCCCGAATGCTTATGTTAGGGTTAAGTTCCTTGGCTAACTTGCTTAACATCTTTATAAAAGCATAATTGTTATGACAGGAAGCAAAGTTTTTTTTTTCAAACTATCGCAGTTCAAGGTTACTGCAATCCATAACTAACTGTCAAACCAAATTTGAAATTAAAATTTTTGAATGGAAAATTATTGAAGTTTGTAAAAATTGTTAAACAAAAGAGATGATATTACCTTTTTTAAAATTTTTTACAAATTTAAATAATTTTCCATTCAAAATTTTCAAGAAGGAAACTTGACCCTAACAACCTCCGAATGACATCTTTTAGAGAACAAATCTTTTTTTTTTGAAAAGGCATTTGTAAAATTGTTCACATATAAATTTTCCCAAGCATTGATGCATCTACCTGTATTTTTCTACCAAAAGGAG